AAGTTACAAAATTGAAATAGTACAAGTTTACCAAAATAAGGAAAAATTTGATGTTCTCTCCTATTTTTTTAATTGACTAGTTAATGACTTATAATAGCCTGTTTACCTTGAGATTTGCCCATTTTTTAAACCTCTTCCCTTTTGTTTTCAGTACAAGTATCTCTAAAAGAGTTTTTATTAGGCATAGCCTCTCCCTGGTAATTAAGGTTTTGTAGGTGGAAAAGGGAAGTAGCTCTCCTCATAGCCAAGTTGTGTATGCCTACTAACCAGGTGCTTTTAAAAACAACTTAAGAATTCCTTTGAATCTTCATCTCTGGAGTTGAAATATTCCTACAGCTGACTTTCTCTTCAAGTATGAACTAGGTTGGTTGAGTCCTTATAAAACACGGGTGATGGCAGGTGTAACAGCAATCAAGGGAAAACAAAACAAAACACGCGCAAATATCTACTTTGTACCAGGCCCTTTGATATTTACCCCATGCTTGTTTTACATTATCTACAGTAAGATGTTAATCATAGAATTGACAGTGTAACTATATATTCTTCAGCCTATACCCCATCAAGGAGCCTATAGAAAAGAGACATTTACTAAAAGTAAAATTTTAAAACATTTCAAATCTGCTTAAAATAACCTGCTTTTCATGAACTTAAAGTATATACATCTATAATTTTGAGAGGAAAAATGCAGATTAGGAACAAGTGATTTCATTGCCATGTTAGAACAATGAATATCCAATTCTTTGAGTATTTTGAAACCACTCTACATAACAAACATAATAGGTGTACAATGTTTATTTTTCTTCATAGACTAAAAATTGTTTTCTAAATCTACTGAGTGGAGTGGGAATTGAAAATACAACCAAATACTCATTTATCCTGATCTGATTCTGCAAGCAATTTTAATGAAGTTCATTTTAATGACTAAGAATTCATCTGGTCTGATAATATACTAGATCTGTAGTCTATTTTAAAAATAGCTTTTGATTCTGGCATGATGGCATGCACCTATAATCCTTGTACTTAGAAAGCCAACGTGAGAGGATCACCTGAGCCCAGGAGTTTAAGACTGCCCCAGCAACATAGTAAGACCCCCAACTCAAAATAAAATTTAAAAAATGCCTTTAAATAGTTCCATTTTAAACTAACAAACACTGCATACTCTCTAAGAATTCCAGAGATGGGTTCCTTAATCCAATATATGATACTTTCCTTACCTTTGCTAAATGACAGCTTGTACACTGCTGCAGTCAGAGGTTTGAAGATATGATTATGCAGAGATTTTTCCTAATAAGCAGATAGCTTTCAACTTATTCCAGCAAGAGGAAGATGAAGTTAGTTCATTGGGGAACGTGGTAGTATCATAAATGGAATAAGATGATGGCCTATAAGTACTTAATGCCTATTTTGTTTAAGTACCAATAACAAAAAAGTGACTTTGAGAAATGCTGGAAGTAAGTTATACTATAAAGATATATGTTTTCTGTACAAGTATCTCAAAAGAGTTTTTATTAGGCATAGCCTCTCCCTGGTGATTAAGGCTTTGATAGGTGGAAAAGGGAAGTAGCTTTCCTCATAGCCAAGTTGTGTATGCCTACTAACCAGGTACTTTTAAAAACAACTTAAGAATTCCTTCAAATCTTCATTCTCTGAAGTCGAAATATTCCTACTGCTGACTAATAGAATTAGTAACTTTATAAATTCCCTTAGCAATGTATCATCTCTACTGAGTATCCCAGTCTATGTCTGAAGATGGCCAATGGCTTTTCATCAGCTACATCTCAAGGCAAACCATTCTCTACCTTTAAAAGTTTGACTGTTAGAAGTTTAGGTTTTCTGAAACTTAGCTGTGTAGACAAAACTTCCTTCTAGATAAAACTTTTAAAATACAAAAGCTAGCTGGGCATGGTGGTACATGCCTTTAATACCAGCAGTCCAAGAGGCTGAGGCAGGAGGATGGTAAGATCAGCATCAGTCTCAGCAACTTAGTGAAACACTGTCTCAAAAAAAAAAAAATTGTTTAAAATATTTTTTTTAGTTGTAGATGAACACAATATCTTTATTTTATTTTTATGTGGTGCTGAGAATCAAACCCAGTGCCTTCCACATGTGAGGCAAGCACTCTACCACTGAGCTATACAACCCCAGCCCTGTCTCAAAATTTTAAAAAAATTTTTAAAAAGGAATAGGGATATAGTTCAGTGGTAAAACACCCCTAGGTTCAACCCAGAACCAAAAATAAATAAATGAATAAAATGTAAGGGCTATCATGACTCAAAGTCTTTCAATTTAAATATTTAGTTTACAATTATTTTTCATTATGGTTTTACATGTTTACATTTTTAGTTCTATTCTGACCATGCACCAGGTTTTATTGATATTGGCTTTAAAATATGGGAGCTAGAGGGCAATACTGCAGACAGGGAATAGGCAATTCAGTACAACCACAGCATCTCCTAATTCTATTGACTCACTTGGAGCATAATATTCAATAAAAATCTAATTATTACAGTTGGACAGTGGTGCAGGCCTGTAGTCCAATATATTTGGAAGGTTGAGATAGGATTGCTTGAGCCCAGAGCTTAGGGCCAACTTGAGCAATCCAGTCTGGTAGAGTGACATACACCTGTAATCCCAGGAGGATACGGCAAGAGGACCACAAGTTCAACATCAGCCTGGGACATTTGGCTAGACCCTATCTCACAATAAATATTTTTAAAAGGGCTAGGGATGTAGCTCAATGGTAAAGCATTCTTCAGTTTAATTCCCAGTACTGGGAGGCAGGGGGAAGAATACTTCAAAAAATCTGTTTATTACTAGTAATGGGCCATATACTTCACCAGCTCTCTGCAATGTATCTATCTACCATCTAAAAAGAACATACTCTATAATTTATTAAAATCACCATATATTTCATTAAATTTTAAAATTCATTTTTCTAATACTATAAAAAATGAAACTTTAAAAGACTGTCACATCCTATCAGAAACTGGCTCTTTCTAGATGCTTACACCAGCACTTACTTATCCTTAACTTTTATCCAAATACTCTTGTATTGCATATATGGTATACTGTATTTTATATATCTTTTTTCTCTTTTTAAAGATGTAATTTATATTTACCTATCACTTTGCTTCTGTTTTCTTTTATTTCTCAAAGAGAGTTCAGCTATTATATCTTTAAGATGAAATGAAACAATGAAATATTTAATTCTATCATGTAAAATTACTTAGGGAAGATAATTTTAGTTTTATGTGTGTTGGATTTAGACTTCCTTTTACTATCAATCCTTCTTATCAAGACAAATTTCTCCATTAAAAAAAAAATAGCCAAATAAACACCAAGTAACAATGTTTTGTGCTCTCATACCACACCAAACTTAAGCACTGGACCTATCCCTTAGATAATCTTTATTAAAAAAAAAATCTTTAAGAGCCTCTAAAACTATAAAATTTAAAAAACCTTGGTTCACTCAGTGTTAAAAGCTTCTTACCCTGTTTCTGTGTTATGCCATTCTGCATAAATTTTTAAATAATTGTTTTTATTGGTCAGAATGAAGTCCCATGTATCAGTTTTCCTAGTTAATCTCCAATTCACTGAGAGATTAAAAAAATCAAAAACTTAAAAACATTCTACTTATTGACTATAGATAGTACAGAGAGCTAAAGTCTCCTACCACCCAAGTAAAATCCAGAGACTGGTAAATCCAGAGACTGCTTATTATCAACACACAGACTCTAACCAATTTCTATACCAGCCCTGATTCACCAATATTGCTAGTTTGGCCAATCCCATATCTTAATACTCACTCTCATTGTTGGTTATATTACCATTTACTATGAAAAAAGTAGAATGATGGCTCATTTGAAGTAAGCAGTGTTGGCAGGTTAACTACCACAACAAAAAGTATCAGAAAAGTAAATAAAGATTGAATGGGTCTTCTTTTGACCCTATTTAAAAATTTGACACCAAAGTCTTTTTATACAATCTTTTTTTTTTTTTGGAGGGGAGATTGGTACCAGAGATTGTACTCGGGGGGCATTCAACCACTGAGCCACATTCCCAGCCCTAATTTGTATTTTATTCAGAGGCAGGGTCTCCCTGAGTTGCTTACTGCCTTACTTTTGCTGAGGCTGGCTTTGAACTCACAATCCTTCTGCCTCAGCCTCCTGAGCTGCTGGGATTACAGGTGTGCACCACCATGCCTGATTTTTTATACCATCTTGAGGTAAAAAAAATTTACAATCATCCTAGGATTTCGAACTCTTACATGACAAGAATTTGCTAATATAATATTTTCCATACATATTAAGGTATTATTTGAGAGGTAACTTAAGTTCATTTTGAATGTTTAATATTCAAATCTATCCCAACAATAACTTTTGTATTACAATTTTCAAAAGGGATAAAGAAAATTTAGTGTTAGAATCTAGGCTCTAACAGCCAAGTTCTTAATCCCAACTCCATCTGCACATTTCAGAACATATTTTGTCTGGGTTGGGGGATATTGGGCAATGATTGCTAATCGGTGCAGGATTTATTTTGGGGGGGGGCAACAAAAAAGTTCTAAAATTAGTTTGTGATAATGCATAGTCCTATGAATGTGCTAAAAACATTGACAATTACCCTTCAATTGGGTGACTATGTGTAAATTATCTAAGTAAAAAATTGTTACTTTACTCTAATGGCATCTACACTATGTTATAAAACACTTTCTAAAATACTCTTAAAGTATATATCAAAAACCTAATGAAGGCAAACAGAAATCTGTGCATCCTAAATTAAGCCAGAAAAGACAAACCACTTAAGAGCCAGAGATGACCAAGAGTTAAAGGACCCTTGTTCATTAGTTAACAATCACCAAATAGAACAAAAGTAATAGATTGAACATGACTTCTAAATGATTTCTTCAGAATGACTAAAATAACCTTGGAATGCAAGGCTGTGCTTCTATAAACAAAAACATGAATTTTCACGAAGTCCTCAATAGCATGAGCACTTACTCATCATACTCGATATGATAAATAACGTCTTCATCAGCAGCAACAGAGTCTGAATTAGATGTAGAAGGTACATTGTCCAATTTAATTGTGTTCTCTTTGGAATTATGATTAACATTTCCATTAGTCCTTTTATAAGAACTGCCATTCTTCAGTGGAGTTTTGCCACGTGAATGTCCATCAGAAGCTCTAGTAACACTATGTATATGTGCTTCAAACCAAGCACCAAGGCCGACATCTCTGGCATCCACCAATTCATTTACCTAAAAAAAGTTTAAAATTAGTTAATGAAGCTTAATTTCATTTATTGCTGCAAAAATATTAATATAACTCAAGTATTTCAGAGTTATCATGGTATACAGTATTTGCAGCCACTGATGTTTACAGTGATTAGTTCAAAACTATCACTATAATCTTTCCAGATTATACTATCTCAAACTTGGTGAAATATGAAAGTTAACTTTCCTCCTAATTTCCTTCAGTGAAATAGGTGTTTTAATTACTCAAAACTTATTCTATACTATACTGTAAATTTTTTTTTTTTTTTGGAGTGATACTGGGGCTTTAACCTAGGACCTTGCACATGTTAGGCAAGCATTCTAAGTTGCACAGGCTAGTTGCAAACTTGTGATTCTTCTTCCTCAGTTTCATCAGTAGCTGGGATTACAGAGGTATGTCACCATGCCCTGCTGCAAATGCAATTTTTATATACCCAAGAGTCAATCTTGCAAGTTGTTGAATAAGAATACCACTAATGAAAAGCCAGGGTTTAAACTATTATGACTGTGACTAATATATTCCATTAATTTCTATAATCATAAAGATAACTTAATAGCCAGTCCAGCCAGAACACAGTAAAATATTAATAGAACATAAAACTTTACAATGAGAAAATTATGCATAAGAACACAGTGAAATATCTAATGAACCCATCTACAGTATAAAATTGGCAAAGTTCCAATACTAGTTAGTAACTCACTAGGAAAATACATTTATTTATCACTGGAAAAAAATAAAGATAAAAATGTAAAGACAGGTTTTTAAGATACAAAACGGGAAAAAATACACAAAATGGACACAATCAAGTCCATGTATGAAAGTGTATAAACCAGAACTAAACCATGTCATCTGATAAAAGGAAAACAGTACTAAAAAACAGTGTTAAACAATTCTCAGGTTGGTATACCAGAGAATTGAGTCAAAGAATGGAAACAGGTTTTTAAAAAAATTCTCTCCCAAAACAACTGAGAACATTGGTACGCTAAGGTTCTTTCAGGACAATAACAAAAGGATCTCTTCAACCTTTACTTTTTTCTTTCTTTAAAAACCCTTTAAAAAGAAAACCTGAAGTCAATACATGATTATCATCTCATCAAGCTTCCTTAGAAGGTAGAAGAGACCACTTAGGGTGTTTAATATAATTCTGACAGACAGTATATAGCTTGGGGAGGAAAGTATATACTAAAAATTAAATACCCATATGCTACATAATATGCAAGGTTTCTTACTTAGGTTTGTCTAAGCCTAACAAACAATGATTCCTATTTTATAAGAAAACAAATGCGGGGCTGGGGTGGTAGCTCAGAGATAGAGTTCGCCTAGCATGGGTGAGGTCCTGGGTTTGATCCCCAGCACTACATTTAAAATAAATAAATTAAAGATATTGTGTCCAACTACAACTAAAAAAATAATATTAAAAAAAAGAAAGAAAACAAATGCTTCAGAAGTTAACTTGTGCTAGGTAAGAACTACTGAAATATAAAGTCAGGATTAAAAGACATCTTGACCTTGAAACTTACTTTTTTGCCCTTATACCAAGAGTTTTGACAGAGATAACAAGATAGGAAAATAGGCACTTGAAAGTAAGCAATGAACTCAGAAATAAGGTATTAAAAATACAGAAAAGTTTCAAATCACCAAGCTGACAACAGAAGGTAGAGAGCGTACAGATAAGCCAAAAGGTATTGACTTTCACTACCAGAAGAGGTATATTTGGCCAAAACATGTAGCAATAAAAGAGTTTGAAAGACATAGTTCAATATAACGTAAGAATTAAGATCTTAGGAGAAAAGAAAGACCTAAGGGCCAACCAGGTTAAGTATGTCAAAGAATCAGAGATTGAACATACTATATGCTGCATAAATTAGTTTACATATTAAATGGACACAGGCTCATTCCTTCCATAATCATTCCTGACAAACTTAAAGACATTTTGTCTTTTCTAGGCAACACGACTAAAACAAAAAATAAAATCATCAATGTTAAAATCCGTAATACTTGGGAGAATAAACTGAGGTCACTACTCTTTCACTGCAAGTCAAAAAATGTAAGGTTTCATAGAGCACTACACAATTATTGTTGCAGCAGAGAAAATGACATATAGTTGATACTAAGATAAGAACAGCAAAAACACCTTAAGCAATATAAACCTGACTATGGAGTAGTAAAAAGAACAAATCAAATATTGAATTTGCCTATTAAGTGTAAGAAACTTGCAGGCAAATGTAGTTCCTGGATAACTCAATAACTGGAAATAAAAGAGAATTAAGAGAAACCAAAATCAACAGAAAAATACTGCCAACGTTTAAACATCACAGACAGAATTGAAAACCTATAAAGGTAGGGCACTATTTGAGTAGAGTAAACCTACATTTATAAGTGGAAATAAGAGCTATAAGTTTTATTGTTTTATTAATTTTAGTGAATAACTCCCAATAATGCATATAAAATGGGGTAGGGTGTTTCAAATTCAAAAGTTTTGCACATTACATAGACAAAAACTAATTTACATGAGTCAAATTGTGTGTAAGAGATTAAAGTTCTTTTGCAGAGCATGAATTTTGATGACAGTTCAGAAGAAAATTACCTAAACCCATATAAGTAACATGAAAATTGGATACTGCCATAATAGTATAATCTAGCAGAAATTAAGAACTGAAGTAGTTAGCCAAGAGAATAGTAAAACTAAAGAGAACACATGACAAAAGAGGAAAACATAAAGAGAGCAAGAGAGCAAGAGAGCAATCAATTCTCAATTGTATACACAGGATTTTAATTTACGGAGGAAACTGAATCATAATATAGAGAGATTAAAGTCATTGAAAGAATTAGCATTTACCAAGAAACAAAGCAAAACCAGGAGGTAAGCACCAGGTTTGGTCAGGAGGCAGAAGAAACTAGGGAAAGTATAGCACAGAGCCTCTGCTGTATAATGTGGGTGAACTCTAGGCTATAGGGGTAGTCTAAAGTTGTACCTGACCCTACATGATCAGTACAGAGGAATATTGGTTTGATGTGTGAGAGATAATGGAGGGGGTTTAGATAGGAACTCAAGATTGGTTGCTTTGTAAATGAAAAGCAGGCTCAATGACAAGTTGTTGACTGTCTCTAGGAATTAGCTTGTCCTACCAATCCCCAACACCACCAAATAAAACAGGAGTTAGCCCTAGGAACACCATTGTCTCCCCAGTAAGCAAGTCCTCAAAGATGTCAAAACATAAAATAAAATTTAAAAATTATATATGGAGTGAGTGGTTTGAGTTGAAAAGTTATGGGGGGAAAACCAGTAACATAAGTCTATACTTATGAGCTGAATTTATTTATATCAAAGATATAGCCATATATAGAGAAAAGTCTTCCATGTCCAGGTATTTGATAGTTAAGGGAAAAGAAAGGAAAGGAGGAGGAAAAAAAGAAATGAACTAATGCCACTGAAAGCATGGGAAGCAAGGAAGAATAATACCAACCAGCAAATACCAGAGATTTTACTGCATGTCAAATATATTTCTAAATGCTTCATTTATTCCGGGGAAAATACTACAACTCTGCAGATAAACTTGGGTTCAAATCCTTCATCTATCACCTCCAAGGTAAACTCTTGAACACTTTAAGTAGTTCCAGTTTCATACTTTGTAGATGTAAAGCATGTGCATTTGAGATAAGGTTTTAAAAAAATCCATACTGTGCCAATCCAGCAAAGCACATAATATGCACAAAAGTAACAAGTTTCCTTATACTAAGTTTCAATATGTCCCATGTTAAGACTCATTAAAACTCAGTAGTCTTAATTTCCCATACTCTGCTTAGTAAACATTAGTAATTCACAGTTAACATACATTATCTCCTCTATTGTAATACAAAAATCATTCCTATTTTCCAATGAGGTTCATATATGAAACAGACTCCAGAGAGGGCACAGCTAAAAAAAAAAAAAAAATGTGAGCACTAAGCTGAGAACCTAGGTTTCTCCAAATTTGAACATGATTCTCCCATAACATTTTCTGCAGAGTTATAAATAAAAAATTGCAATATGGTTCTGTTTACATAAGTTAGAAGCAGAAAAATTAGGGTAGATAAATAGGTTAAATGTTGTTAATAGGTTGCTAAAGGTTATTAATAGGATCAAGTTAAAGAATAAAGAAATGATGGCTATAGAAGTTTGGGTAGTAGTTACAAGTAGAGAAGAGTCACTTGAGTAAACAAAGACTACATGGGAAGGAGTTCCTGGGGTATTACTATTCTATTTTATAATTTGGGGTGGTATTTATAAACACTGATTTTGTAATATTTCATTAAAACTTACTCTTATAGATTTGTATTGTCTATTGCACTTTATAATAAAAAAAAGTTAAATATCAAGAATTGCACTGTGGACAAAGATAAAATGTGATACACCAAAATAACAATATTTTTACGTAAATTATTGAGGTTTCTTTTTTTCCTGTATTTTCTATAAACATAAGAGATAATATGTAAAAAGTTTAACAGTGCCACATACTTAGCTAAACCTTAAAAAACATTTCTAAATATATCATTTAGACTGGATAACAGCCATTTCAAAAGCAGACTTTATTTGAGCCATATAAATAAATATTTCATATTCAAAAATGAGAACTAAAGTCAACTTAGGTATCAAAGTCTACCCCATTTCAGAATATAAATCAATTCCTCATCTGGAATCACTGTGATTAGCTGGGTATGGTAGCAGACGCCTGTAATCCCAGTGGTTTGGGAGGCTAAGGCAAGAGAATTACAAGTTTGAAGCTAGTCTCAACTTAGTGAGGCTCTAAGCAACTTAGTGAAACCCTATCTCAAAAAAATAAAATATATGGGCTGAATTGTGGCTCAGTGGTAGAGCGCTCGCCTAGCATATGCAAGGCCCTGGGTTCGATACTCAGCACCATATAAAAATAAATAAAATAAAGGTATTGTGTCCAACTGCAACTAAAAATATAAATATTTAAAAATTAAATAAATAAAATAA